CATATTCTTTGAAATACATCAGTATTCCTTGATGTTCTTTTGGTTTCGAACCTCCCACAATCTAAAAACTAATCAAATATAGATCAACAGAGAACCTGCTCAAGTAATGGAGAGTAAACTAAAAAGTTCGCCCCAAAAAGTTGCTGCGTAATATAATCTCTCTTGGGCAGATTTTTTGTTGATCATCAAAAAACATTAATTTAAATAATTTAATATATTTGGATACCTCAAACTCAGATCTGGACTGGCACAGCGAACAATGGGATTCGATATCAAAGGAGCCACTCTAAAAGCGAATGTTATATAGTTTTTCCATAAATGCATGTAAGCATCACGTTCCGTAGGGGGTTTCTTCACAGCAGTTGCACTCCTCAACAGCGAGGCTCTGTTATCATTCAGAGGTCTGAAACAAATCCAAGGATGAAATGACACTGTAACATATTGATGAAACTAACTCACGTCGGATCAACAACAGTATATAAAGCGCTCAGTCTTGTAAATACTATGGGCCACGAATGCATTGTCACAAGAGGGCACAAGCTCAAAATAATATCTTTCTCCAAAAATCCAAAATAACAAACACTCCAGGGATCCACCACCAAAAAATTGTAATTGGCAGCATTCTTCACAGAGCCATCCTCAAATAAACCAGCAGTCCAAATGGAAGAATTCCTATCGGTCAACCATTGCAAATCGATATTAGCCACGGACTGCATGGCTGTTTTTTCGGTTGGAGGCAAGAGTGGTGAACATTTCTCGACGACTTGAAAGCAATACTGATCCATCACGTCGATGAGAGGGGGATGTTCTGAGCAGTTGAGTACCTTCAACAAGCTCTTCACTTCTTTCAATATCAAAACACACAGCCTGCGAGTTGGTAATCTGTAGGTACAAAGCATGACAAGAGCAAGTGCTTCTACCAGGTGGAGAACTGATGACAATGGTTCAGATTTGATTTGATCTGTTCTCTTAGTTAGATTTGGATCTGGTGGGCCTGGTTTCAAATCATTGTAATCCTTGCCTGAAAAAAAATATTTTCACCCCTAAGTTGAAAAAGTAATGAACAATAAAAGTGGAAAACTGAAAATAATATTTAATTCATGAAACGTTACTTTGATTGTTATTCAATGTCACTATAATCTTGCTAGGTTTCCATCTGAATAAGAGTTGTTTTCCATAGTCTTACCAGATACTGAATTGTTCAGTAATTCAAAAAAATCGTTATATTAGCATTTCTCAAATTCTGAAAACGTGATTAATTTTATTTAGATATGTTTACTGAATTCTTGAAGTACCTCTTATGCAAAGCTTTCTGAAAATTGATTTGTTCAAACAAAACATGTGGTCATGGAAAATCGAACATTTGAAATTTTTTCATAAAAAAACTTGGTACTACTTGATTTTGAAGTTCGACAAATTGATAACAGACAAGACAGTGAAGGAATGTTGGAAATGCAGGTCAATCAGCAATATGAAAACTCCAATGAGAAATAGTGAAAATAAATTATACAAGGTGATTCAAAAGTACTTTGACAAACTTCAGGAGGTGATTCCTCACAATATTCTAATATGCATCGATTATCAAATCGATGCATGTTATCAAATATTTAGAAAACGGTTGTTTACAGCGACTAGTAACAAGGGTAGCTTATTTACGTAGATATGATAGAGGAATCGATTTTTTTACTGAAAAATGTGCTAGAAGTACGCCCAAAAAAGTTTCGGATGAAAAATAATGTCATTAAAATAATATATTAATATGTTAACCGGAATTTAGACCTACTAGAAAATAAATGAAACTACCAAGTGAACTAGATGACTTTGTAATCAAGTTACATAGACATTTGGTTATAGTCAAGCAGGGTTATTCTGCTAATTTTGTGGAGCTGCTAGATTTGTAGATCTGGCAATATTGAATTCGTTCCTTTGTCATCATATTTTTGTAGCCGGCTAGAGCTATAGATTTCAGCAGAATAACGCTGCAAGTACTCAATCACTAACGTTGTTTCCAATAATGAGAGTACTAATTTCGCTAGTGATATTACTAGTAGTATCATCAAGAATGTTTTTAAAATATCAGTAAAAAATAAAACAAACAAACAAAAAGTAAAAAATAAAAATTGAGAGATTCCAAACCAAGTTACTTCACGATGCTTTGTTTGTTATTTTATACTGAATAGAATTTATTTTGAAACTGATCTGTATTATTTTTTCCTTTTACTATTTTTTAAGGATAACGGGTTCAGATTTGATTGTATTTTGGTAACAGTGAAGAAGAAAGTAACACAAATCATGAAGTTATGAAACTACAAAAATTATTTGGCGCTCTGAGGCAACTTCATTGATCCCAGTGGCGCAGAAGAACCTGCAGCGGCAGATTCATCATAAAGATTTTGAAAGTTATAGTTGTGAAACAGCCGTATAAATCTCATTCCAAATAGAAAGTGCTGAGTGACGAAAAAAAAAAGAGCAATTAGTAAAACTAATTTTGGGGTTAAAAAAAGATATTGACAAAATCAAATTTCGAATGTTAAAAGTAATGGTGATCATGATAAAGTAATGAGACAGATATGTGACGAACAATTTAAAAAAATGAAGTTGGAAATCATTATTCTAATGTAAAAGGGTGTCACAGTAACGATGATAGGACCATGTTAAAAGTAAAATTTTTTTATCATTATTATTAATATTTGTTAATTAATATATGTGTATTTTATTTAATCAATATTAATCAGTGTTTGAAAGTTGTCATGATATGACAAAACACAAGGAAATAAGAAAACTGAAATTATTTAATGTTTTTGATACTTTTATTTCAATATAATTTAAATTTTTGTGAATCTTGATGAGAATTCCTCAAAAATTAAAGGTAACGATTGATTTGCAACCAGCACTTACCTAAACGCAATGTATTCGTCGAAAAAGTATTGTTTCCAGTAACAGCAGACTTCCAGGCGCATAACAATGTCAAAATCATCTTCAACCCATGATCCATCAGCTGGGGAAAAGTATCCAAAACATCTTTGGCAACAAACTGGGTGAGGCCCCAGAGAACATCTTGTCGCCAATCAGGAAAATCGACCACCAAACTCTGTAGACTACAATACGACAGCCCTCTTAGTTCTTCATCCATATGAACGGTGAGTCGACTTAGTAGATCAACTAACTCGGCGCTGGTCATTCCGTCAGGTATCAGACGGGGTACGGCAGCAACACAAGTTCGGAATAACTCTATTCTAGGTTTCCTCTCGCCGGTGATCATTTCATCGGGTTCCTTATTAACATTTTGGGTGTTGGTCATCATGAGCGGACGTCCATACTGGGTGTCTAAAGCTCTCAAGATGTCAACGAAAACCCTCCTAACGTGAGGAAAATACGCGTTCATTCCGATACTTCTGGCAGTGTCCTCGGTCAGCATTTTATTCAGAAATGTTTTGCGTACTCTCAAAGTGTTTCCACTCGGCAGGACGCCTACAGATCTAGGCATAGGCGGGTCGCCTTCTTTCTGTTGCAAACTGTCGGCAACAACGAGAAACGCCCTCAGACCAATACTCATTCTTTCAGGAGTTAAAATCAGTTTGAACGGTCGGGCTACAGATAATAAGTCGAAGACAATTTCGCGCATCGCAAAATCTAAACGTTCCTGTGCAATGAACTGGATAATTTTCACGAAAATGTTCAGAGGGGTGTCTCGCGGTACGACGCCCTTGGAACCTTTGGGAAAAAGAGAGTTAACGATGCTTTGGAGTCTCGACTGTGTAGCAGAATTGCTTTCACACTTTATGCGTATCATGTATACCCACAAAAGGCGGTAGAGAGATTCTGTAAGAAAATAATATTTGTTTACAAAAAAACTGAAAAATGTGTGCAGCGGTTCACTTTTAATTATCTCGTACTTTTATTAATCATTTTTTGATTTAAAGCACGCTATAAATATAAATAAATAAATTAATGCAACATTTACACTTCTTTGCTGACATACGCTTATGAAGTTTTCATTATGTTTTAATATTATTCCTAAGCCATTTTGTTACAAGACTTATTTGAAATCCGCATATATAATAGAGTTGCACAATACAAGTGTTCAATCACTTAGGTGCCAAACTCAGTAATGTAATCAGAAATTAGTATAGCTAACCAAATCCTCGATTAACTTGCTGAACTATAAAATGTATAGTATATTTCCTAGTAAAAATGTATGGTATATGTATGTATGTATGTATATGTGTGTGTATATATGTATGTATATATATGTGTATATATATGTATATGTGTGTGTGTATATATCATATCATATTCATCATATTTATTGTATTGTTATCATTTTCAATTGTATAAATTGTATATTGATTTTGAGAATCCTATTGTTACAGTGCTTTTGTATAATATGATTATATTAAATATTAAATGAAATTAAATTAAAATATATTTCTATTGATGATAATTGAAATTTCCTTCACATTCATATTTTAGAGACTAGGAATAAAAATAAGAATTAAAACTATAATTCCTATTTGAAACTTCGGATATCGAGACAAACTATTTCGTTTGATTGTTTACTCAATACAAAAAATATTCCAGAGAGTTTGAATGGCACAAAATTCTAGGGCCCAACGTGGGGCCTTTCTATTTTTTTGAATTAAATATTTCTGGTTATTGTACTCGTGAAACAAATGAGGCTTTTCTGGCCGAGAAACGTAAATTCATATAAAATATGTTCATGTATTTTTTCAGACAAATTATATTTATATTGTAATATTTCAAATATTCATTCACCATCTAAACAAATGAAATAATTACTCATCTAAAAAATACAATAATATTATTCTACAATTGAAACCCTTTCTAATAATTCAATTGAATCAGGACGGAGATTGAACAAGAATGAAAAAGTCACGTTTTTAGTGACACATTTCTATTTGAAAGGATAAACGTGATATAAAAAAATTATCAATTTCAGATGATATCTCATTACTAACATTATTCCGAGTTAGTATTTTGCAATCAAAGTATTAAAGTTTTCGAAACTTATGAGAGTGGTTTCCTTGAATATACCTCAAAATTATCCAAGACTAGTTTTTTCCTCCCCCTGAGATTATATGTATATCCTTGTGATACGCTTACTTTTGTTTCAAGTTGAAAAAAATCAGGGCTTTCCTAACACATTTATTTATGTAATTTCAGAAACAACTAGGGTAAGGTAGTCAGGTTTTATTAACTTTTCAAATTTTCTCTTTTTGTTTGCAATTTTCCATGCTATGATCATTATTATTCCTCTAGCCCTTTGTTCCTCTAGCCTTTTGTTCCTCTAGCCCTTCGTTCCTCTAGCCCTTCATTAATTTTGGATAATGAATGACGAAATTTTTTGCTGCATACATTGCTTGTTCAACATCTCAACTTGGTAAAGAATCGCGAACACTTAATAATTATGTATACAGAAAACTATTATGAATAGTATTTCATACAGACCAATTATAAATAAAAGTCTGATTTTGAGATCGATCAAATTATTTGTAAGTTCGCTTTACAGTTCGCAAATCTTGAAAGAAGTGCTATAAGGCTTCTTCGAGCAGCTGTTGCAATTGATAATTGCAATGAAAAAAAATGAGTCCTGACCTGAATTTATTGCTGCGATACTTCTTACAAATGAAATTATCAACCATATAACCTTGAATTTGAGATAGTAAATGTTGACTATTATATTATGAATTCCAATACTTACCTAAAGCAACTCGGCACATTTTAGGATCCCTATTTTTCAAATGAGATAGACACATAGCAAGAAAATAATGCCAGTTTTGAAGAAAAAACTGTTTTTGACTCACACATAGTAGACATGTGACCAGAGGAAATAATGCCAGTCGATGCTTTGATTTTGTACTAGCATCCAACGTCTGGGCATACAGCATCTCAACGAAATTTTTTAAACAGGGCACATTTACTTCAGTTTTCACAGCCTAAAAAAAATGATATGTGTGATGCCCTTCATTTCTAAAATTTACATATAAATATTTTATTAGTGGAAGGATGGATATTCTATGAGATTTTTTTCAGTAAAAGGAGTCACTTTTATGAAAAAATCAGTTACAAAGTTCTCTTTTGTTATCAATAAGAAACTCTTTTTGTTCAGTCGAGGGAGTGTAAGAGACTGAGAATATACCTTAAAGGGAAACTGTACCTAATCTCCAATTTGATGAATTTTATCACACAATCATCCATAATATTCATTAACAGATCAGTCTTTGACAAACTATCACACTAAATATACTGAAGTCATGAAACATTATAACCAGTTCACATGAATTGTCCTTGCAATTCTATGATCACCAAACGGAAAGTAACCATCATTGAATAATAGACTTATTAAAAACAATACCTATAAATATTAAATGATATAAATAAAATACTTTATCTAATTTCCACTTTCTTAATGAACCCTAGTGGAATACAACCAATGTATGTCATTTAACTTTTCTGTTTGTTCGTTAAGGGTTCTATATTTTGAGTTTTTAATTGATTTATTGATTTCCATGGCTTCCAACAAATTCATTTTCCTTCCTTTACTACATATATGTAAGATTTTGAGGTTTTCCTTACTTATTTTGCGGTTTGTTTCTTGTAGATGTTCGTACATAGAAGATTTTTTGTCTACACCAACATGTTTACGGAGTCTTACTTCGGAATTTCTACCGGTCTGGCCTGTATATACTGCAGAGCATTCACTACATTCTATTCTATATATGCCAGATTTCTTCATTCTGTCACGTCTAGGTTTTGCATTAAATATGATTTTGCCTAAATTATTATTACTTATGAAAGATGTTATTATGTTGAATTTGGAAAAGTAATTTTGAATATTTACTGAAAGTTTACCTGAGTTATTAATGATGCAGCATGAAAGAATTTGCATCAAATGTTTTCTGAAAAATTGGATTAAGTGCTCAAAAACACTGTTGACAGTAGCATAAGCTGATTGTACTCTGAGTCAGAAAAATGTTCACAATTGGTTCAAACTTTTCATGAAAGGTCGAGAAGATGTGAATGATGACGCTCGCTTTGGATTCCCCAGCACATCAACAACCGTTGAAAATGTTGAGTCTTTGCTTGTTGGTAATTTTTTGTCCAAAAACAACATCGTAATCATGCCTCAGTCACCGAATTCACCAGATTTGTCCCCCTGCGACAAGATTGAAGAAACTCATGAAAGGACGGCGTTTTGCGTCGCCTAAGCAGATGAAACCTGAATCACTGATACCAAAAAGTGCATATCATAACTGCTTCGAGGATTTGAAAAACGCTGGCACGAGTGTATTATATCTGGGAGGGATTACTTTAAAGGGAACGAAATAATGAATATTTTTGAGAAAAATGAAAATTCACTTTATTTTTTGATCACTCAGAGTATCTCAAAGTCTCAGCAACGGCTAACTTGCTGAGACAAGAACGTTTAAAATGTTCTGTATGAAAAATAATTTGAACTTTTTGTCTCTATCTAGAACGGATATTGCATGTTCGCCAATTAAATAATTAGATACCTACTGAATGAGATAAATTCATCTACCTCCTAAATATCTAATCAATTATTGTATATACATAACATTTTGACTGTTTTGTTTACTACTTCTCAATTTATATCTTCTTCAAAATGAATTTGTAATTTTTTACAAAAGAGCTCCTTTGTTTTGTTGCATTATTTATTTATTTATTTATAAACATATAATTGGCCAGTAATCAGAATGGCCTACAAAGTATTCTTTGATCAATATAATCTTGTAGTTATTTTGAAAAATATCAAAATAACAAAATAATAAAAACAAAAAATGTGTATATAAAGACGAAAATTTAAAAATATAAAGATGTACTTTAAAGATGAAAAAAAATAAAAAAAATAAAATAAAATAAAGTTATACAACTAAATGTTAGTGTAACTATTGTTTGATAGCTTCAACATGGTAAAATTATACTCAATCAACCTACTTTCTAAACAGTTATCTGCATGTTTGAATACAATTTTCAAAAAGTTTTTTTGAATTCAGTCGTAGAAGCAATGTTTGTGAAGTCTACAGGAAGTTTATTGCATTGCTGGATTTCTCTATAGATGGGTGTATCCTGATTTTTCTTTGTTCTCATGTATATTTATTTCAGTCTTACAGCATTCCTTGTATTGTGATTATGTGTATCTCCTACTGTTTCCATGGTCGTATTACGTAAGATGTATTTATTCAAGATTCCATGTATAAGCTTAACTTGTTGAAGTGTAATGGTTTTTATATTTTCAGGAATCCCATTATTTCATAAACAATGTTAATGGAAATTGGTCGATACAAGTTATACAAAGTTTTTATTTATTTGTTTTGTGCTCTTCCTAGTTTGTTAATTAATTGTTGTGATGCATTGCCCCAACATGGTATGAGATACCTTATATGTGATTCAATATAGCTGTAATATATTGTTTGTTTGACATTGTGGTTTATATATTTTGCACAGTGTTTTAATGCTCCTGTCATTGAGACAATTTTGTTATCACTTCGTTGATATGCTCTGTCCACTAGAGTTTATTATCGATCAACAGTCCTAAGTATTTGTAAACTTCGACTTCTTTTAGTAAGTTGTTTATATATAATTGTATTGTCCGATTTGGTTTGTTTTTGTGCTTTAGCACCATATATACAGTTATTTCAACATTTAATGCTAGCTCATTTATCAGTAGCCATGGTGCTTTAGCACCATATATACAGTTTTTTCAACATTTAATGCTAGCTTATTTATCAATGGCCATTGATAATATTATCTTGCACTCAAACCAGCCATTTTCAGTGAGTGGACATACAAAAGATATAGTATAGGTCCAAGAACTGACCCCTGTGGCACACCAATATTTATATTATACTCATCACTTTGATTGTTTTCTAATGTTGTGTATAATTTTCACTCTGTTAGGTATATATGATGGAATCGGCCGATACTTGATGAAAATCCATAACTAACGTATTCCAAAAACACTTTATTGTGAGATTTTCACTAAATTGTTTTACAAAAACGCAACACGTGTTTCGCCATACAATGGCTTCATCTGGCGTGTCTTTCAACTTTTTTAGCAGTTTATAAGCAACACCTCTGAATCCCATATTAAACAGTTTGCTTATAATTTTATCTACGTTCACAGTATCAAATGCTTTTCCAAGATCTACAAATACCGTTATTATATATTTGTTTTTAATCATTTCAAAAGCGACATAGTGCAATAAGTCTGTTGTTGCTCTCATAGTAGATACTTTTTTTTTGAAAGTCATATTTGGTTAACGGAAAAACAGATTTTAAACAGAAAACAGATATGAGTAAAAGCAGAAAGTTTCATTAATAAATCCCACTATTCTGAATTTCTCCACCCAGAATCATTTAAAAATGAAGAATTTATTAAACTATTAATCAAATGGTTATGTTTGATATAAAATTGTTAATTTCAAATGTTTCAATCTTGAATACGAGTCAATTATATTACTAAAATAGTTGCATTTGATAATAATTTCTAAGTTATAATGCTATTAATGCTGTGTGAGTTGTGTTGTGAGTTGGTTTCAAAGTGATGGTTGAAATCCGATAAATTTTAAAACCTAAATTAACACATCTTTTTGATCTAACAAAAGACATTATCAAACATAAATTATATTCCTTGGGATTCAGAGGAACTATCTGGAGATGGTTATCATCATATCTTCAGACAAGAAAAGTATATGTATAAGTTCAACAAGAAAGATCTTCTGAATATAATATGGATTATGAAGTTCCCTATCTTTTCATCAGATGCTGAACATATTGTTCGGTATGCAGATGGTACAACTATAGTAGCCAATAGCAACTTCAAGAAGAAAGATCTTCTGAAAACAAAATGGATTTTTCAGTTCCTCGGGGCTCTATTTCAGGCCCATTGATATTTCTTTCATTCGTGCAGATGATATAACTATAGTAGACAGTGCCAACATGCCAGTGTAGCTTCAAACTTAAATGAACACAATAGCTGAACATTTCAGTTTATTATATAGAAAAAAAATTGTTTGATTGTTAATGCTGGAAAAACGATATGTTTACGATTCTCTTCAAGACAGCTAAGGTCTATTTCATTGAACAGCAACATAATGGTACCCTCTGAAAATGCCAAATTTTTGGGATTATATGTCGACTCAAATATGAGACGGGAAACAAATTTCAACAATGAATCCAAAATAATCAATAATGTATATACGCCATTCTTCAACTCAGAATCATTTTCAATGCATTACAGCTTTTAAATGTATATTAAACTCTGATATATTCACGAATTTCTCATTATATTGTCTTGTGGGGCAATACACATAATGCCAAGCGAATATTCATCACACAAAAAAGAATAATCAGACTAATATTCAGTCTCATATATAATGTATGTGATTGAATTGGAATAAAGGGCTCGTTATTATTATTATTCAAACTACGAATTTTATTCCAAGCGGACTTTTTTTGAACTTACTGCAGCAACAGGAACGAGAATCTCAACAAAAAGTCCAGCCAAAGCATGTTTGATATCTTTATCTTTGACTTCAAGAAAATACTGCCCGCACTCTTGCATAAACTGAAAGGAGGCCTCAAAATCTTCAATGGGAACCATTTTCACTCTGAAGAACTTCATTCCCATCAGCAAACTTATAATGCTCTGAGTCGTGTTTGGACTAGACTCTCGAGACCTGAGATCTTTCAGCTCTGCCATGAATTTAGTTCTGACAGACATAAATCGAGACTGCGCCAAAACTCCTATCACTTCCGCATACAAATCCGATATCATGTGTATATTGGCACTATTCGGACTGTTCTGAATGCTGTAACACAAACAAAATTACTACAATCAGAATGAGAGTTTTGAAATGAAAACCCACTTACCCTTCGTGGTGTTTGAAATGTTTGATTGCAAGATTCTCGATATACTGAACAAGATCCTCATGACCAGGATGCAGACTCATTTGTTTCAAAACCTCAATCAATACGAGACAGAAAATGAATTCCACAGCCAGATCTCGTTTTTCTTTTTGGATATCAGCTTCAGATCGTTCAACAGTCTCTGTAGTATTCCCCGCAACTATATTAATAATACTGAAAACGTTTATATTGAAAGGGTTATATTTTTAGGAGTGATAAATTTTTGGAAAAGAAAGTTTTTTGGCTTTCTACTAATCCAACTTGATACAAAAAATATGGGAATCTTCGAAAGGAAGGAAGGAAGCAATCAATTTCTAAAGAAGTAACTCGATACATAGATGTGTAGATCATGCAAAGAAGTAACTTTCACACAAACTAGAAGGAAAACTCCTCCTGAAACATCTACTTTCATATATACATTGAATTACATGAAAGAAAAAATTCTTTCGAAACAAATTTCACCTACATGGAACACTGTCATCCTCACTGGTAGACATCGATGTTTCGATGCCTTAGGGCTCTTCAGTACCAATCTGGATAACATTATAAGAAAGAACACACAATTAATTTATAAATTACGATTTTGTCACGGAATGAATTTGATCTATTCATGTCATCGATGACATTGTAATGTCATCTATATTAAATCCCAGTCAAAGGAATTCTTGTTTAAAGGTGGATAACAATGTTTCATGTTGCATTTCATTAGTTCGGACTTACATTGTCTAATGTGATATGAATTGATTTGAAATCCCTGAAAGAATCTGTAAAAAATTAAAAAGGTCAGCTGAAAAAATTACAATTACATTGAGCAAAAAAAAACTGAAATTACTATGAAATAAAATACAAGCAACAACCAAAAAAACAAAAAAATTGAACAATTAACACGATATGAAAATTAAAAAATTACCACCAATTTACTTCACGATGTTTCGATTGTTGGTATCCACTATCGTCTTCGGGTAATAACTGGACTTATTCCTCAAAGATCTGACTATTTATAGGTCATTCGAGTGCTTTCACATATCCCCTCCTCCCTCTCTCCCTCTCTCCGCTTCATCGGTTTTAGCGGAAGCTCACCGTTTGGCGGGAGTTGGTCGTGTTCCGCTTGATTAGAGGTTTCCATATGTTGCGTATCTCTACGCTAGCTTGGCTAAATGCGTTGTTTGACAACATATATGCGGCTTCTTTGAATTTTCTCCTAAACCAGTGCTCCTTCTTATGGATGATTTCAGCTTGAGCCCACTTGATATTATGTTGATGAGTCCAAACATACTCTGCTATTCCTGATTTGCTGGTTTCTCCTCGCTGTGTGTGTTTCTTGTGCTCGGCAATGCGAACTTTCACTGGCCTCTTAGTTTCACTGATTCTCTGCACTCGCAGGGAATCCGGTAAATGCAAATCTTAGAATCGCAGTCCGCGTTTGGTGGCCTGGTTTTCGTGAGGCTGCTACGAATATTGTTCCCAGATCTGAAACAGGTTCTGATGTTATACTTGAATCCAATCCTTCTAATCCTTTCCGACAATCCTCTGATGTAGGGAAGTACAAGTACTGGTTGTGGCGGCTTCTCTTCCTTGTGGAGCTCTTGCTGTCTTCTAGCAGAATCCTGTTTCACCATCACTTTGGAGTAACCATTCCGTTAAGGTCATTTTTGATTATACCTAGTTCCTTTTCGAGACATTCCTTTATATTATAGAGCCCGAAAGCACGGTCTAGTAGAGTCTTGATGATTCCTCTCTTAGTCGATTGATGGTGGTTGGATTCCTGTTTCAGATACTGTCCTGTGTGAGTGGACTTTCGATATACAGATGTTTCCCATTTAGTGTCGGTTCTCTTCACCAATACGTCTAAGAATGGCAATTCGTTGAGGTTTTCCTTCTCCATTGTGAAATTGATGTAAGGACTTACATTGTTGATCAAAATGAAACCAGCAAATCAGGAATAGCAGAGCATGTTTGGATTCATCAACATAACATCAAGTAGGCTCAAGCTGGAATCATCCACAAGGAGGAACAGTGGTTTAGGAGAAAATTCAAAGAAGCCGCATATATGTTGTTTCCAAAAACACATTTAGCCAAGCTAGACTAGAGATACGCAACATATGGAAACCTCTAATCAAGCAGAACACGACCAACACCCGCCAAACGGTCAGCTCCCGCTAAAACCGGTAAAGCGGGAGAAGGAATAGGGGATAGGTGAAAGCACTCGAATGACCTATAAATAGTCAGATCTCTGAGGAATAAGTCCAGTTATCTCCCGCAGACGATTGTGCATACTAACAATCGAAACGTCGTGAAGTAACTTGGTTTGGAATCTTTTAATTTTTAATTTTCATTTCTTGTTAATACTTTTTTAATTTTCATCTCGTGTTAATTGTTCATTTTTTTTCATTTTTTGGTTGTTGCTTGTATGTCATTTCATTGTAATTTCAGTTTTTTTGCTTAATATAATTGTTATTTTTTCAGCTGACCTTTTTAATTTTTTACAGATTCTTTCAGATATTGCAAATCAATTTATATCATATTAGACAATGGAATTCCAAACTAATGAAATGCAAAGGAATCTCGTTTAAATTGAAAGGTTTACATTTTTAGGAGTAATTAATTTTTGAGAAAGAAAGTTTGTGGCTTATACATGTTTTTTGTATCAAGATGGAGTAGTAGAACGCCAAAAACTTTCTTTGCCACTGAAAACATGTACAACCCGGTTTATTTTCACAAATGTTTTTGGGAACATAACTTACCTCTTTTGTTTAATATCAGACTTTTTTTGTTCTGGATTTGAAACTTCGGACATTTGTCTTTCATACCATGAAAATAATGCCCTTAAAAGTGATGGTAAGCAGTGTTCAGCAACTGATCCAAAGGCAACAAGAAGCTGATCAAATTGTGCATCCTCTCCTCTTTGCAACGTTTTTGATAATGGTTTTTCCTTGAATATGAGAAATTAATGAAACATAACCCTCTCGCGTGTGATATGGCTTATTTGAGAAATTTGCTGTTTTCGAAATTTCAATTTCTTTTTAGAAATCTCAGCTCAAAACTAGTTTAAATCACATTATTTATCAGTTATTTACTAAGTGTTTTTATGAAAACTATATGCAACTTTGTTGTCTATGAGTTGCCCATTCATAGAACAATACATAAAGTTATATTCTCAAAATATAGGGTTTCATTTAGTGCTTCCTATCTTTGAATTTAAATGCAACAAAGTATGTTGCGATATCATCGAAATTTTATATTCGTTTGAATAACTTATTATGCCATTATGTGTGCAGACATTATGCCAAATGTCTGCCACAGCAGCTTCACTGGATGAAGCGCATCCGAAACGCCCAATTTTCCATGACTCTAGCTTATAAATCACGCTAAATTTGACCGATGGCATGGGTTATGATGGCTTTTAGGACCGGAGTGGTTTGTGGCATATTCTCATACACCTACGACTTAAGTAAACCCCACAAGAAAAAGTTAAACTGGGTCAAATCGCACGATCTCGGTGGCCACTTCTCATCACCTCCACATGAGATGAACATGCCCTAAAATCGCTCGTACCGAATATCCAATGTGGCATGAGCTGAGAGGCATGTAGCGCCGTCCTGTTGAGACCACATGTCGTTCGTGTCTGGATCATCCAATTCAGACCAAAAGAAGTAGGTAATCATCAACCTAAAGTGTTCGTCGTTGACAGTGGCGGCCTGGCAAACGTCGTTCTCAAAGAAGTATAGACCGATGACGCCACCATCCCCAAATCTACACCAAGCAGTGACTTTTCGGAATGCATTGGACGCTCTTGGATGTCATGTGGATTGGTATTGCCGCAAATTCGACAATTTTGTTTGTTCATGTACCCATTCATCCAGAAATGGGTCTCATTGCTGAAGATGATTTTTCGATGAAAACTGGGTCAGTTGCCAACTGTCCCAGAGCCCATTTAGCGAACACAAGTCATTGTCTATGACAATGGCGACTGTAAAATGGGCGAACACCCATTTTACATGGGCGAACACCCATTTCATTATTTGCACATATTGTTGAATGCTATATCCGTCCATGGTGATTTGGCAAACCTTCAACAAGATGGCCGTTATCAATTGTCAAAGTTCGGAAGTCCCTATTGAAAAACCCTATATAATATTCTCTAAATTTCTTGGAGTCATTCTAGAAAAATATGTATCATGAAGACATTTTTTTTTATTTATTCAACGGGTAGTCCCAATTTCAATTTGTTATAAAAAAAAAGGATTTNACATCTTGAGTGATTTAGCTATAATATACTCATTATGAGATTTGAAGTTCAATTTACGATCGGACATAATTCCTAAGCCCTATATCACTGATTTCCTATTAAGTGGTATATTATTGATACTATAGTCATGTAGAACAGGGTGAATAATTCTAGAAAATGTTTGGCAGAAACATTTGGATATATTCAAATTCATTTGATTCATAACACACTAGACATAAAATTGTGACATATCTTCTTGTAAGAGTGACACATCGTTTGTAAAAAAAGTCAATTTGAATATTTTTACATCATCAGCGAAAATCAGTACCTCACTATGTTTTATAATTGTAGCTAGGTCATTAATAAATAGGTTGAATAGCAAAGGTCCACAGTGGGAACCCTGAGGAACACCCGAAGGAACAGGAATTGTGGATGATACACAGCCTCCTATTTTTACTATGTGGCTTCTAGCAGATAAGAAACTCTGGATCCATTGCAAGATTGGTCCATAAAAACCTAACGAAGACAGTTTGGTGATAAGCAAATCTTGGTTGACCCTAACAAATGCTTTAGAAAAATCTGTGTAGATAGAGTCGGCCTGTAATCTTTTCTCCAAAGCACCTAATATGTAATTTTCATGAACAAGTAGGTTTGTCACAGTTGATTTATTAGCAACAAATCCATGTTGCTGTGGAGATATTAGACTTTTGTATTGTCACATATTGAAACAATAAGAAGGAGAATAGCTCAATAATTGGAATTTTATTCAAAATAGGAAATGTTGTAACATTGGAATACCTTAAATTGAGTTATTTTTCATTAGTATATTCGAAAATGCAATATCTAATATCAGTATGGTGAATAGCAACAAATTCTTTATTGAAACCATTTAAAAAATGTCAAAACAATGAATAGTATATTCGAGTTAAACTACAAGGAGCCAAAAAAAAAACAATGGTTTGAAAAAACTGTTAGATATGTCATCCTTACATAAATGCAAATTATGTGCCTTCATTGATTTGGTCAAAAGTAAGCTCAAACATTCAAGTCTGAGTTTCACAATCAATAGTGAGCAACACAACCATTCGACAAGATGCTGAATCTAAAATTAATAAAAACAAATATTGGGCAAAACTCAATTCAAAATTAATTGATAGTTTATTGTATGATTTTCACTATAAAGGGTTTTACAAAAACCACAACACGTGCTTCGCTATACAATAGGTTTCTCAAGCGTAAACTATGGCCAGTTCTATTCAAAACTCAATTTATTATAAAAGTATCAAGTTTTACAATGAGCTACCAAATTCATTAAAAACTTTTAACAAAACAAAAATTCGGAATTAATTTGAAAAAATATTGATTGCTTCAAAACTGTATATATGTATGGATGTATGTACGAGGGTTGCCTTTTATATTTCGAGATTTGACAACCCTAGTGTTGTAATCTGGCAGCTGACAGCTCTATCGTAAAGTTGGACATTTTTGATCTTATAAGTACTCAGAACGTTTTGACATACGCGCGCTTATGTGTTGTTTACACTAACTTAAAAGATTCATCTCGGCCCAAAAAAGGAATTAAATCGTGAACATTTTCGTGCGATTATTTTTAACAACTTTCGACGTAGATTAACTCAGCAACAGTGCATGGATGAACTAAATTCAATTTCTGGCGATGAAGCTCCACCAAGAACCAGTATTTATCGATGGTATGGTGAATTCATTCGTGGTCGTAGTTAACTCAAAGACGAATTTCGTGAAGGTCGTCCAAAATCAGTTGTTGTTCCGAAAACCATTGATGCTGTGCACGAACTGATATTGCAAGATCGTCATGTGACCTATCGTGATTTTGAGACAACCTTAGGCATTAGTGGGACCAGCATACATTCAATATTGCTCGTGTCAATTGGTCGAAGGAAATGCTCAAAAAATACGATCGCGATGCTTTGAAGCAAATGGTCGACTGTTTTATCGGAAAAACTGGACATGTCGCAACCGTACCACTAGAACAACGCAGAACAGTCAATTTAGAGTGGTACACACACTTCCAAGAAATAAGGAAAATCAACCGCCGAAGACGGATCACTCTTCACCACGACAATGCGAGCTCTCACACATCGGCTCAAACAACTGCATTTTTGTGCACCCAAAACATCGATTTGATGAGTCATCCACCATATTGAATAAATCGTTACTATTACTATTAAAAATGCAAGAATCGTCACAAATAAAATAGAAAATTGAGCATTATAATTGTTCTTGCTCAAAGAGATCTAAAGGTGATATGAGATCGTAATAGAAACCGAGATAATTTGGAGCTAACCTGTTAAATAGTTTTTGGACAGTCAGCTCTATTATTCACAAATTTTAATAAAAACAGAGGTGAAGCACAATTCTTGCAGTATTACAAACTCAAAAGCTTAAAAATCATCATTACTAATAATTCTCTCAATTAAGTAATATCTATCATTGCAATTGAAAATTACTGTAGGACAATAGTTAATATCAATTATCATCATTCAGAAACTGACTTATTTTGAAATTTTGATAATGCTTCATAAAAAACAAGATATTCAAAGAACTGATTACCTCACAATCAGTAAATCAAATTAATAGAAATGGTGTCGACATGTAGATAGGCAGATTATTTATTGGTATTTCAGATTCAAAATCAGGCAATCAAAAATGGACAAATGAGATTCATCTGATAAATCATGTCATGCAACAAGTATATCACATGAGACTAATTATTAAAAGGTATACATACTATATAAATAGAAAATATAAAACAATGACACTGAGAATCATGGATTTTTATCAAAAATTAAAAAAAAAGCCATTATATATTTTTTTTAATTGTATGAAATTAATCCTAAGATTGACTCACTTTTATTCAAATAAAACCCCATTTTTCTAATGGTTCAACTCTTTTCATAGGGTTTTGGAATATATTGCTTATCACAGATAGTGATTCAGATCAATGTGTGGCAAGAAAACAGATCGAAAATCTTCAAGATCTATTTGTTGAAAAAACAGACCTCTTGTAATCAAGAAATTTACTGGACTGATTATTATAAGAGATACAAAATAACTAAAAATATTTGAAATGCTTTTGGTGACATTATCAAAAGGTTATTTTAATCTTAATACATATTTTCTCACAAGTTACAACACAACATTCACATATTTTCCCACACTATTATGAATATGATTACTAAGTTTTCAGTGACAAAAAAATTAAAGAGAGTTTCCCCAAGAAAAATGTTTTAACTCTTCAATCGATTGCAGTTAAATCACTATCATAAGAACAATAAGAACACAGATAATTTCAAAATTCAACAAATGACTACTACTAGGTTGTCTGTGTCATAAAAGAAAGTACAGGTGATTTTTTTATGAACTACACAAATATTGCTTTGAAGTCTTCAAGGTGAAATGAAATGAAATGCTTCATTCAAATAGGATACATCCTAATATACAACAATGATAATAATGTTAACATTAATATACATATAAACACACTAATAGAAAAAAAGATCTCAAGTAGTCTTACCTATGATAATTGAAAATACAAAAAAATAATGATACATAATAATTTGGTATCACCTTGATGGTCTTTTAAATGGTCTAATAGATTTCTTTTGAATACTTAATGAATCCTTTAAAACTTAATGTTGTAGTGTTGAACGTTTTAGTTTGATTATTTACATACAATTCATTTCTTATTCTAGTATTATACTGATGGATTTGATTATTAAAAATTACAAATTTGTCAAAATATGAAGGTAGAAGGTTATGCAACATTTTGTAAATATAAATCATTATTAGATATATAAGCCTACTTTCTATAGATAACAATTCTAGAGTATTTAACATTAATAGGGTTCTCATTTTATTTAAATCATCTGTGTATGGAAGAGTGTGAAATGTGGTTGTATAATAGTCTTATATACAGTTATCTGTGATTGCATAATTAAGTGTTGGGACTCTTGTGACAAAATATAATTTTTTCAAAAAAATGTTCTGTATGTAAGTGAAATGGTTATTTATTGATAGATGCTTGTCCAACATGAATCTTAGATATTTGAATTCAGAAATGAGCTCAATTTTGTCATTTTCTATTTGTATTTCAATTAGATTTAAATTTAATTCTCTGTACTGAAAAGTTGTAGTAAGTATCATAGCCTTTGTTTTGTTGACATTAATCTACAATTTATTACTATTCAAATATATAGAAATATCATTCAATGCTTCATTCATTTTATGAAAAGCTTTATCTATATCTCAATCACTAACCGATACTATGGCATCATCAGCAAAATTATGCTAATAATCACATTCATTACATTTGCTGATATCGTTAATGTAAATTAAGATCAGCAATGGCCCTTAAATGTGCGTTTCCAACGCACATTTAAGATCTAAAAATTCTTCTACAGTGTACAGTGCAGATTCGCATGAATATCTGGATCTAAAACCAGATCGGTTTGTGAATAGTATATTTTTTTAATTGAAATATTCCAACAGTTGTTGATATACTATTGATTCTAACAGTTTTTCAGCGCAAGCTAAAGTGTTAATTGGC